GTTCTTTGCCCTCATTGGTAAATGAGGAAACAGGTTCACTCGTGGATGGTTGTCTAGAACCAGAATCGAGGGCCCTGAATCTTCGTGCAGGACTTTTTATAGTGTGCTTTACAGAAAAGTCAATTGCACTGCACCTGCCTGTTGACAGTAAGGTGTGGCAAATTCTTTTCTGGATTTGAAAAAGGTGTTTGGAAATACTTTTTTTCTTGACTGGGTTTTTTTTTTTTTTTTTGGCATTGTTTTAAATTTATTAAAAATGTCCTAGTAAATTTTTTATTTACTCTTTTTGTTATTTGCTTTCTTTTTCCCCCCACCCCTCAAGAGGGGAAAAGTTAGGCTGATAGTTCTGGTTCCACTTAAGGCATGTTGTCTAAATTTAACAAATATTTGTTGGGTATTGGGACTGTTTAGAGGGAGAAAATTTTAAATGTGGCCCTTCCACATGCAGCATATGGTCTAACTAGTAAAACAGTGGTTGTTAACTTGAAAAATCACAATTAGTATATTCAATTGTATATTCTATAGTTAACTGCTAAATTGCATAGTAGAAATGCTAGTGCTCACATAAGAATTGTAAAAGGAAGAGCGAGCCATTTAAAATTAAAGACACAGGCATTCCATTTTTTAGGAAATGATAACCTTCCTCTTTGTTATGTAACTATTCTCAGGTTTATATATGATATTTTTTAAGAAAGCTCTATTGAGATATGATTTATATGCCATAAAATTCCTCTTAATAAAATTCCTTTTAATAAACTTTACAGAGTTGTGTAAATATCACACAATCCAATTTCAGAACATTTCTGTCACCCAAAAAGATCTTCTGTCGTCATTCTCTGTTCCCACTCCAGCAAACCACTGATCTTTTTTCTCTCTCTATAGATGTACCTTGTCTAGACATTTCAGATAAATGGTATCAGATCCTATATGCTCTTTTGTGTCTGGTTTCTTTTATTTAGTATAATGTTTTTGAGGATTGTCCATGTTGTAGGAAGGAGCCCTGATCCCACAATGGTTAAGCACTTAACTGCTCACAAGAAGGTTGGTATTCGAACCCACCCGGTGGCTCCATAGGAGAAAGACCTGGCAATCTCTTTACAGCCAAGAAAATCCTGTGGGGCAGTTTTACTCTGTCACATAGGGTCGTTACAAGTCAGAATCAGTTTGACAACACCCAACTACAACAACCATGTCACAGCATGTATCAGTACTTTACTTCTTATTGCCAAAGAGTTTGTTTTTTTTCTAGTAAAATTACCATTTCTTTTTTCATTTTTTCCTTCTCTAGAATCCCAAAATTCTTCTCCTAGATGAAGCAACAAGGTGAGGATATCTTAATATATATAATTGTTTTTAAAACAAATTCTACCCTTGGCAAAAACTTTTTATACTGTAATTCAAGGTGATACAGCTGAAAATGCTTTTCCTCCCCCTTACATTTTAAAGTTATTGAATCTGAATTAATAATGACATTTGAAAGGTAACAAACAGATTGAGTCATGATTAGAAGCTTCAAGTTCCAATCCAGACATGCTTTTGATGAATCCTTAATCAGTCTATAATCAGCAACTGTGCAGAACTCTTTCTACTTATATGACAGTTTTATGAAGATAAAGGAGTCTCAATCTTTTTTTTTTAATATCTTTAATCTAAGAAGTTGAAGGAAGCTTGACCATAGGAAAAATTCACTGTTAATGAAGACCCATTGTATATGTAATAGGAAATACATGAGTATATAGTATACGTGGTACTTAAGTCTCTCTTTCCTCATGTTGCTTTTCTATTACAGTGCACTGGATGCTGAAAATGAGTACCTTGTTCAAGAAGCTCTAGATCGGCTAATGAAAGGAAGAACAGTGTTAATTATTGCCCATCGTCTGTCCACCATTAAGAATGCTAATATGGTTGCTGTTCTTGACCAAGGAAGAATTGCTGAATGTGGGAAACATGAAGAATTGCTTTTAAAACCAGATGGGATGTTCAGAAGATTGATGAACAAACAAAGTTTTATGTCAGTATAATGAAACAATTGTTTCTTTCATTATGAAACTGAATATAAGAGATTTTAAAGCAAAACAGCTTTGCAGGAAAAAAAATGTAGACTGTATGAAATCTGTAATCAAACTTCAAGTATATTTTAAATAATTTCTTTTCCACCATGTATAAATATTGTTTTGAAATGTACCTATCCTAAAGACCTTTTTTTTTTCAGTTTCGATAATTGTAACTTTCTTAATGTCTATAGCACTGAATTAATTTCAGGTTTTGTATTTTATCTTGGAATATTATAATTATTATAGCATGACATTTTGTTTTCTTTTGTCCATTGTTTAGATTGAAGCTATTGTCAAATGACAACATTTAAGAGGGAATTATAAATAAAAAGCCTAATTATTTTAGGCTAGTTTACTAGTCACTGTATAATTCTCTTGGTAGTATTCTGCCTACTTTATGTCTAATTTTACTTGAGAGACATAAAATTTTCCTATGTCTGATTTTCATATGGAAGTAGATTGCCCAATCTTCCTTCTGAGGGGTGGCTGGTGGGTTTGAACTGCCAGACTTCTGGTTAGCAGTCAAATGCCTTAGGCACTACACCACCAGAACTCACATGTCTAATTTTCATAGAAGGTGAAAATCTGGCCTTCATTTTAAATCCTAATACTCTCATGAAATAAACCTCACTGCTCTGATAGCATAGTGCCTAAGGCATTTGACTGCTAACCAGAAGGCTGGTGGTTCAAATCCACCAGCCACTCCTTGGAAGGAAGATGGGGTGATCTACTTCTGTAGTGATACTGCCTTGGAAACCCAAGGAGGGGTCATTATGAGTCCAATCCGACTCAACGTCAGTGAGTTTGGTTTGGTTTTATTCTGGAAGGTCCTATACAAGGTGCTGCCTACCTCTTTCATGGCGCTTGTTCAGAGCTCACTAAACTGTGGCCTGCTGCCTGGTTTTTATGCCTGGAAGCTAAGAATGGTGTTGATATTTTTAAATACCTGAAAAAAAGAAAAATGATAGTTCATAACATTTGAAAATTTTATGAAATTCAAATCACAGTGTCCATTAATGAGGTTTGACTGGAATATTGCCATGCTTATTCCTCTATGAGCTGCTTCTCCCTACAACCACAAAGCTAAGTAGTTGTGGCAGAGACTGTATGGCCTTCAAACTGAAGAAATTTATGTTCTGGCTCTTTTCAGAAAATATTTGCTGACCCCAGAGCTAGTAGGGGGAGAAAAATAAATTCTTCACTTTTAAACTATATTGAAATTTATAGTTATCACCAAATTTTTCATTGCTAATTAGATGAATGTGTCTGAAAATATTTGGGAGTAAAATATTTATATGGTGAGTTCTTCACTATTCTTTTAGTTTTCCATTTAACAGTATCTTAATTACAGAACTGCTGTGAATGAGATTCTAACTATTCTATCACATCTACAGAAAATAATTGTGACTGAGAACAGAAGAGCAGTGTTTGCACAGGGAGATAGCTCCGGATGGGAGTGCATGGTAGGGAAGGACACAGGGAAGAGATAACTACTGGGAAGAAGTGGGAAAAGAATTGTTACATTGTAGTCAATGTCATGGAACAAAATGTGTATGAACTGCTATATGGAAAATGAATTTGCTTTGTAAACTTTCATCCAAATCACAATAAAAATAAAATAATTCAGTTGGATTTCTCTATATCAGCAAAGAGATCTCTGAAAAGGAAATAAGGAAATCAATACCATTTGCAGGGATTAGTCTCATATAAATCAAAGTTTAGTCTTCACTGAAAGAATATGGTTAGAGGAAGGCTATAAATAGGAGAAGCACATCTAAATTTTGCCATAACAAGAAAGGGAAATAAAACATATCCAAATTGGTAAGGAAGTAGTAAAACTATCCCTATTTGCAGACGATATGGTCCTATACACAGGAAATACAAATGACTCAGAAAGAAAACTGGAACTATTTGAAAGATTTAGCATAGTGGCAGGATACAAGATCAAGATACAAAAAATCAGTTGGATTCCAAAGTTCAGCAAGACAGAAAATAACAAATGCTGGCAAGGATGTGGAGATATCGGGACTCTCATACACTGCTGCTGGGACTGTAAAATGATACAACCACTGTGGAAAGCAGTATGGCGATTCCTTAAAAAGATGAAATTAGAAATACCATTTGATCCTGCAACCCCATTATTAGGTATATATCCTAAAGAAGTGAGAGCCAGGACAAGAACAGATATATGCACACCTGTGTTCATTGCAGCACTATTCACAATAGCAAAGAGATGGAAACAATCTAAGTGCCCATCAACAAAAGAATGGATAACCAAACTATGGTACGTACACACAATGGAATACTATGCAACTCTAAAGAATAATGTGGAATCTGTGAAACACCATATAATGTGGATGAACTTGGAGGACATGATGCTGAGTTAAATAAGTCAATCATAGGACAAATATTGTATTAGTTCACTATTGTAAAAAGTCAAGGAAAGATTTATATACAGAAGGAAACTGTCTGTGTTGGTTACCAGGGAATATATTCTTCACATTTAAGCTACATTGAAATTTATAGTTATTGTGTTGGATTGGGTTCTCTAGAGAAACACAAAAACCAGCAAAGTATATATATATATATATATATATATATATATATATTTAGAGAGAGAGAGAGATAAATTTATCTTAGATAAATGGCTCACAAGCGTGTAGAAGCCGACAAGTTCAAGCTGAAAAGTTCGTCTCTGGAGGGGGATGGGGCCCAGAGCCGTCTGGCTTTCGCACGCACGGCAGAGGAGTTCAAGTCACAAAGTTCGTCTCTGGAGAGAGATGGGGCCCGGAGTCGTCTGGTTCCCGTAAGCACAACAGAGCCGAGAGAATCAAGCTGACACGCAGTGCACTGGTCGCTGTTCCCAACAAAGAATGAATCCGAAAACCTCCAGGGCGAGCAGGGAGCTGCTCGCTCCAGGAAGTATATAGTCCGGAATGCCGTTCTTCCAGCTTGTCCCTGGGATAGCATTGCAGGTAGGCCACACCCCTGGGGAAACTCCCCTTAGGCAGACCGGCCACTTAGAACTCAGTCATGTGATCCATCATGGGAACCACCACTCACAACTGGAGTCCAGCCAAGTTGACACATCTTCAACTATCACAGTTATCACCAAATTTTTCACTGCTAATTAGATAAATGTGTCTGAAAATACTTGGGAGTAGAATATTTACATGGTGAGTTCTTCACTATTCTTTTGGTTTTCCATTTTAATAGTATGTTAATTACAGAACTGCTGTGAATGGGATTCTAATAATGGGACAGGATGGGAAGGGAGGTTCAGGAACACTGCTAGATAGGAAGAGACAAGTATTGATTTAGGTGAAGGGAAGGGCAATGTACCAAAACTGAGTGATTAACATGGTGACACTGAAGAAGAGGAAGACAGAGGCACAGGGGAGGTACAGACAACAAAAATGAACCTTTTTGCATGTACAGTACTGCATTGTCAGTGATGGCAGGCATTGATCCACAGGTGGATAATGGGTGAACAGGCTGAATGATCAGGTATGTCTAAGCAGGGGGGAGTGTGCCCATGACCATACATAGGGTTTGCAGATGATGTTTCTACCTGTGTATTTGTAGGTGCTATAAGAATGTCCAGGTTTATAGTAGAGCTGACAAGCCACAACGTTGTAGTGGCTTGGCCACAGCCAGCTACCTGGAGGGAGTGAGTAGTTGGACCTGTGGGCTTGAGATGATAATGATGATGCATGTTTAAGTTTGAGAATAGTACACTAACATTTCTTCCAAGTTTCTAACATAGGTAACTATACTAGATAAAATAAGATAGATAAAATAGTTGATCATCAGGAAAAGAATGGTGTAGGGAGGACTATGGTTGCAGTGGACATCAAGTTCAATTGGCATAACATACCATGCAAAAACATTGTCCTACATCCCAGTAGCAACTGGGGTCTTAAAAGCTTGCAAGTGGCCATTTAAAATGCAGCAATTGGTCTCACCTCATCCAGAGCAAATAAGAATGAAGAAAACCAAAGATGCATGGAAACAATTAGTCCAAGGGACTAGTGGACCATGCAGACCTCAGCTTACATGACCCTGAGATCAGAAGTAGATAGTGCCCGGCTACCCGTCAACCACTTGGAAAGGGGTCAGTGTAGGACATCCTGGGTAGAGTGGGAGAAAAATCTGGAACAAAACTCAAAATCATTAAAGAAAAAAAAAAAAAACTGACCACGTTTACTAGTCTGATAGACTGGTGAAACCCCTGAGACTATGGCCTCTAGTCACCCTTCAGACCTGGAATTTAACTCACTCCAGTGGCTTCCAGACAAACAGTAGACAGGTGTAGAAGGTGAACATTTACACCAGGTAGGCACACTCCTTAGAACAATCAATCATGGGATATCAGAAAGGCAGTATTTGCAGGGAGATAGTTCAGAGGGCAGGAACTCTGGTAGCATAGTGCCGAAGGCACTTGACTGCTAACCAGAAGGCTGGTGGTTCAAACCCACCAGCCACTCCTCAGAAGGAAGATTGGTGATACTGCCTCGGAAACCCAAGGAGGGGTTGCTATGAGTCGGGGCCCACTTGTTGGCACGTATATCTTACTTTTTTTTTAAGAGGACTATTTTATTGGAAGTACTTTTTTCTTCAGCTTGATTGCCTTTCTATTATGTTTGTATTTTTTGACACCTAAAAATGTAGTCAGTCAACTCTATATTTAATTCTCACAAAAGTGGGATATTATTATCAGTCATGTTATGGATGAAAGAATGGAGGCTCAAAAGGTGACAAAGATAGTAAATAGCAGAGGTGGGATTTGAAGCAAATTCTATTCAATTCCTGAGTCCATACACTCTCTTAACCACTACACCAGTGGTTTTCAAAATATTGTTCCCAGAAGGCAGCATTAGCATCACCTTGTTAGAAATGCAAATTCTCAAGCCTCAGCCCAAATCTCCTAACTCAGAAACTCAAGGGTGAAGCCAGCATTCTATTTTAGCAAGCCCTCCAGATGATGCTGATGCATATTTAAGTTTGAGAATAGTACAATAACATTTCCTCTAGGTTTCAACATAGGTAACTACACTAGAAAAGACAGTTAAAATGGTCAGTCATTAGGAAAAGGGTGGTGTAGGGAAGTAATAAAGCAGCACTGGTATTGTCCCATGGTGTACATCTTAAACATCTTGTTCAACTTGCCACCCTTCTTCATTTCATACTCAAGAAGGCTAACTAGTGTTCTCCTCCTCAGACTGGCTTCTTGGGGGGTGGGGAATTATCCAGTTGGGGGTGCACCACAGATGACTGGAGGGGAGGAGGAGAATGAAGTCACAGTACTTAATTCCCTGGTTTCCTTCCTGCTGTGTTGCAATACATTGGCCATGGGTCCTGCCAGGTCAGTGATGCTAAGGTTGTGTGTCAGTTTGGCTGGGCCATGACTC